CTGTGTATTAAAATGCAAGCTCTGAACGCTGACAGTTGATTTCATTAAGTTGTCATATCAAGCAAATGAAGGAATAATGGGAAAGAATCAGGTATGGTTAGTGAAGTGAATGGTATTTTTACAGTTTAAACCCTAACATGCTGATGGCTCCTGGGCCCCAGAGGAACTAGCATCTTAAAGCATCTGATTCAGAGAAATAAGAGCAGACTTTTATCTGCAGGCCTAACATGTTGCAATGTCTTAACACATATTGGCGTTCTGGAAAATCCAAGATTTCCTAGCACCAGAGGCCAGCTGGTCAAGCCCCAAAGCTGATTATTTTGGGAATGGGGGTGCAGTGATTATGTGTATGTGTGTGTAAGTGTGTGTGTTAAGAGGGGTGTAGGGATTCCTCAACTCAAGGCCCATTTCTCCCCAGGGCTGGCTGATCTGAAGGAGTAGGAGTTATTGATCACTTCACTATCACACTCCCACAACATTTACTATTTCATAGAGGAATCTGTAACATAAGTCAAAAATAAGTCAAAAATAAAATGGCAATAAAATGTGCAATATTCCAACAAGGCCTATGTTTACTTTATGTGGGTTGTTTTACCCTACAACTTACTACATTACAATTGGGCTAGTAGTTATCACATATGTTTGCTGACAGGCAAACAAAGCTGAAAAACAAAGCTTCCTTGGTGGATGCATGTAAATGAATTATTGCGTAAAAATACTATTGCGTTTATAATAAAAACCTTTTGAAGTACATAGTAAAAGCTTAGATATTTCAACATACAGTAGACATGATTTCATGGTATTGCTATGTTACATTGGATTTCTCAAAAGACAAGAATATGACAATAGAAATGTAAAAAAATCATGTACGTGTGCGAAGTGTTCTCAGTTGGGGGACTGGGTCAGTTTTGACTTCATACTTATGCCACAGCCATAGATGTCCTTACTGCCAGAAACAAGGTACTCCCTGGTACAAATGTGTGTGTATGTGTTTGTGTGTGTGTGTTTGTGTGTGTGTTTGACAGAGGGGGAGCTGAGTGTGTACTCCACTGCCCCTGCCTGACCTTGCTCTTCCATTTCCTCCCCTACTGTCATGAGTGGGCAGACACAAAATCACAGCTGACTGTTCAGCCCTCAAGGTACCAGCTCATCTGATTGCACAAACCCTAGGTTTGGGGAAATGTTGCTGCTGGGTCTTATAATGAAAAATATAAAATCCTTCAGTCATTTTAGCAGCAAATAAAAGGGAAATATAATGGGTAACATTTATTTTGAAAGGCATGCAGATTTCAATTTGAAATAATAATTGTTCAAATCCCAAAAATGCATGATATGACCCTGGGTCGCCTTTATTTTTCTCATACTGTCTTTTCACCCTCTGTCTGAAACCAGAGCCCAGTCTGCTCTGATTGGTTAGCTGACCGGCTCTGTTGTGATTGGTCAACCGCTAAGAGATGTCCCGTCCCTTAGCCTATCATGTACAATGTGATGAAGCGCTTGCCAAAGTGCCAGTGTTACTTAGTGATGTCATTATGTTACAGAAGTAAACAAAGGACTACAATGATGGCGCTTCAGGCAGGGGGGAGAGTGTGTGGGAGAGAAACTCCCTCTGGGGGGAACATTTGGAATTTAGCCTATGCAAACCATTTACATTAAAAAAAACTGTATAACACACTACAGTAAAGGGAACAAATAAAAATCACATGAGGGCCTCTTTAATATTTGGGTTGACTGCTCTTATATCGTTTTTGGTCACCAAATGCAGTCAAAAAACTGAATGTAACTTGCCCAAAATGGCTTTCACTAATACAGATATTGACATATGATTTTTTTACAACATTGGTATCACCACTGTTATCATGGGTCATCAGGTGTTTGATGTTGAATGCAGTCAGATAAGAGGTTTTGCTGTATGGTTTTCTGATGTATCCTTGATCATGTATCTCCTATTTCGTAGTGAGTTCCTATCTTTACCACCTGCCTTCAAAGTCAATTTAAAACTAACACCATCAAACTTCATTGTAGCAAATCTTGAAATAACTAAAACAACCCAAACATACAAAAGAACAACAAAAACACATCCCTGAAAAACAGAAAAACAAGAAACTTCACAGATATCTGACTTGGTCGGGGGTGGTTTGAAGTTTGGGGGTGGAATTTTTATTGCACTTTTTCTCCGCAGACATTTTCATAGAATTAAGCCGACGACACCTCCACGAGACAACAACAGCTTCTGGCATCCCAGAACCACCTCCACACCCGCTGTCAGTGCTGATCAGACCCCTACATGTCTACAATACACCACCACCAGCACCACCTCGGCAATACACCTACACTTATGGTTGCTAGCAAGTGTTTAGCATTTACTGTACTGTGAAAAAGGCTTTAAAAAAAGAGGAGATGGGGATTTTAGCATCTATTGAGGTTGACAAGGAAGGTTGCATTTGCACAGGGTAATCACCCGAGCCCTCAGTGATCAACTTAATTGAACCATGAAGGATGAAAAATGGGGAAAAGCTGGGAGAATGACATAAAGACAAATAGAGAGGAAGACAGAAAGAAAGGCTATAGGAAAGAGAGACGTAAAAAGAGACAAAATAACTGTGTGCAATTACTTTAATGTGAATTACAGGCTCAGTTAGATGGTATGAAATGAGAGAACAGAAAGATTGAAGAGAGATTGAGATCAAAGACAAGATGCAATCACAGAATCATCCAACATCATTTTACAGATTTATGATGCCATAAATATAAACTAATTGAACACACTTTGAGGAAACGTGAGGATAAAACACTCCCTAACGGAGACTTAAAGTGGCAAGAGTGTTTTTACTTCAACATGTACAAGAAGAAAGCAGACAAAGAAGACGAAGGCATTCACAGTTATGGTGTGAAGAGTTGGCAGAGGGTATATGTGTGTTGGGGACGGGGGTGGAGGTGTATATTTAATTCATATTCACACTTCATAGATGCGTGCACCTACACTGTTATATAAAATTATCAAAGGAGCCTTTGTGGGCACATTTAGTTTACTGTTAAAACATTTGAGAATAAATAATTTAGGTAATTATACAGAAGTTTATTCACTTTTATATTATTTTGCACTTATTTACTGGTATCTCTGTCCCAATGTGAAGAGTCTTCTTGAGTCCAATGGCATCACAGGGAAGACCTGGATGTAATTCCATGGTTTGGCCTCAATTTTGTTTCAAAATCCAACACTTTTAATAGGTCTCTTGGAAAAAGGGATCTACTGTAGGGATCAAAATTAAATGGGGTTTGCCTCAAAGCTTACTTCACAATGCAGTAAGTTAGAAAAAACAATAATCCTTTTTTTGTTGGATTGACTGTTAAGGGGCCTACACCCCAAACTGACACCAAAGAACACGTCCCGACCGAACACGACTGTTGTGTCGCCTCACGTCGTCTTGGCCAACAGTCGCACTGGAACGCACCGCAAAGACTTCAGCCGACGGCCAAGTAGCACGTACGAACTGTGCATGCGTGAGTGGCAATAACTCTCCTTACCAGCAGGCGGCGGTAGTGTGTATTCGTCATTCAAAAGAGGCAACAACCTGAAGACAGACTGCGTGATAAACCGAGAGAAAAATAACAGACTGCGTGATATAAACAAACAACAAATAGCGTGTGCGTTCCATTTTCACTCTACAGCAAGAAGCTCATGGGGCTTTCCCGAACCTGTGTCGAGAGCTGGAGTTAAATGAAATCTCAGATTTGCCTTCTTAATAGTTTGTTTGGGTCCCTCACTTCCGTTTCGCTTCTCATGCACTGATTCGCTAAGCTGAACAGCCAATCAGAGTGATTTCTTTGGCCGACGGCCTGTAGCCGACAGCCTCCCGATTCAACATTGAATCGACGGCGGAAGGTGTCGGCACAGCCGAAAAGACACAACGATATATACAGTCTATGGGCGGGACACACCAATCTGAGTAGGGCGACAGGACGCTCATCGACGGCCAGACATCTATCGACATCTATCGACGCCGAAAATCGGCTTGGTGTGTAAGGACCTTTACACATACAAATAATTTAAATGTAAATTATACAGTGTCATTACATTGTGCCTTCTCAGTATATTCTAACAAACAATGGGTATCCAATTAAGAGTACAGTATGAAGCATTTTACCGTGACTACACTTCAAATTCGCCTCCTGAGGTGACATCGGTTGAAAGTAAAGACAACAACAAACAGTGAAAAGGATTAAGGGAGACAGAAAATGCTGCTTCAGATGTTTTTTTCCAAATATCAGATAACAGCTTTACGTCAATGATTATTTAAAAGACTTCACGGCTCATGTCTAATCTCTTTTTACAGAGTTTTACCACTCCCAGATGACATGTTATTGCTCCCAATGGGAATTAGTTCTGCATTCAAGCAATAATTATCCTGCAATAGGTGACTGTCCGTCAGGGGTCCATTAAGGAATCATTTTTCTGAGTGATATTCCAATTACTGATTAAATGCTGTGTAGCAGTTCATTGTTTGGTTAATCTCTTCTAACCTAATCTGATGGTAATGTAATTGTAAATGTAAAAAAACAAAACTCAAATAAACTCAAAAGTTTAAACATTTTTAAAGGACCAATCCCCATCCAACCAGTCAGGTGGGGGCGTGAACCTGTCAGTGCAAGGCTGTTCAAATGTCTCATATTTGTAACAAGGTTTGTAAGAAACAACCCTAACTCGTGCGTAAGTGCAATGTGGAGCTTGAAAAAGTAATGTCGTTACATTTGGAACGAAAGAGGAGTATTGGACTATCATTTGGGGTTCACCTGTGGACACTGTGATTGGAGAGACCTGAGCTTCACTCCGCCCCCCTCCCCCCGGCGGACTGCCCGCCTCCCCAAACCCAGAGCGCACTCCGCTCTCACTTGCTTCCTCTACCCGCCGCAGAACATGAGCTCCCTTCTCTCTGAGCGGACGCACACCGATACAGATGGTTTCATTGCGGCATCCCGCTTCATGCTGACCGAAACTGCTGTTGTTTAGGATAGAAGCTCCCCCCTGCCCTGTGACCGGTTGTGATTTTTGGATGCGCCATGCAATCTCGCTGGTGGAGTTGTGGAATTCGGCTGGTGGCATGGACGTGGGTTTGGAGTCTGGCGTTGCACGGAGCGTGGTGCATCCCCGCAAATGAAGGTAAAACACGCACGGACACTTTGGGGTTGATGACAGTTGTTCGGTGACACGTCTTTGTTTTAATTGCCACTGACAGGCACGAGTGGAGGTTAAGGGTCCGTGTCTGGTGCTCCAGCCCCCCAATCTCTTCCATCCTGGCTGACACGGCTCTGACGCTGTCTGACCGAAAAGGAGGTCTCCTATACAATACATTTAAGCAGAGAATGTTTATGACAGCTGTGTCCCCGAAGTGTTTAATGACTGTTTGTTCCGAAATAGTAAAGGCTGAGATAAAAAGAGGACCTTTGATCAGAACATGCGTCTATCCAGATAACCGGTCCTTGGAGAACCGACAGACGCACAGTGCGCTGCAGACATTCACTGTGAACATCTTAAACATCTTCCGTTGCAACTCAAACTGCTCACTTGACGTTGAAGCACCCTGTGGTGGTGTTATAAAATAAGGTTTCTCGTGTGGAATTCCAATTTCCTTGCTTTGGCAATGAGTTTTAATTTACCTCAGGCTTCTAATATCTCTTATAATAATATAACTTTAAGCGTTTCACTGAGACATTTCTCTGCATTCCCTTTTAAAGCTTATTTTTGGTTCAGTCTAGCCTGGCATTCTGTCTTTTTAAATATTCGCATTGAATCCTTTTAACCTCTGATACTGTTGAAATGCCTGACAGCTAGTGAGTTCAGACTGTAGCTTGCAGTAAAGCTACTTATCTTGTCACATATTAACAGTTTCATTTGGCACCCCCTCATTTGGCACAACATTTCCATAATGGTCGGTGCAAATTGGGATTTAATCAATTTTGATGTCTGAACTAATGCACCTGTACTAAATATAAAATATGGACATTTACAGTGTTGCTTAAAAATAAGAAAAAATACAATATTCCAACGCTATTGTCCGCAGACTTGGTAGCATTGTAATGGCTCAAGATGAGTGCCATTGTTTAGGGCTATTTAGACAGCATTTACATCCATCAAACTGCTTATTCTTCACGTAGATTTATTTGGTCAAATGTACAATCACAAAAGTGTTTCCCAAAGTGTGACCACTCAGGGGTCCTGGAGCGGTTCGCAGGGCAGCCTTGGGGCAACATGTAGAAGAGTTAAAGTTTACCCAGGATGTATAGGTTCCTGTTTGGGACAGTGTCCTCTGAATTAAGTAACCTCACTAGGGATTTGTATTCTGGGCTTTATGGGATATAGCACATCAATATACTGGTGCAAACTGGCATATAGGTTCCCAAAAGGTGTGAAAAGTCGACATAACTTCTTAAAAGTGTTTGACATAAAATCCACGATAACTAAACACTCATAAGGTTTGTTGTCTGCAGCAGAAATATCCGTACTTTAAAACACTTGAATTCCTGCCTTGTTAAAGCCAAGCTTGAGGCTGTGAGAAAAAATCAATGGCAGACTGAATCACAAGTTTGTGTTTTGACTCCAGTGATGAAAAGAGATATGTCTTTTATATACGCCTCCACATGATCCTCTGCTGTCTTTATTTATCACACCTATTCTTTGTTTGCTCTGCAACAGCACTTGTTTAACATCTATTGTCTCTAAAGTGCTCCCAGTTAAATTTAACTGAAAAAAACATGTGCATAGACAACTTTCTTAAGACGCTTAAAGAGCCAAAGGCTGCAATCTTACGCACATTTTAGATTCATTTCATATTTGTATTGCATTGGATAATCATACATTGCATGCATAATTGGAGAGTATGGTGAAGCCCATAATTAAACAGCCAATATTCTCTCATTGGACTAATTTATTGTAATTGAAAAAGTAGGATTAAACAATTTTTCGGATCTTCTTAAACATCTTGGGAGGAATCATTAGGGACATTTCCCACTTACCCATCTCACATTTTGTTTTAGGCTACATGCTGCATAATCTGTCCTCACATCACACTGCAGACTTACCTCATACGACTGTTCCAGGTTGAATTGTACCTTTCATTTGCGTTGATATACTATAAGTGTTTCCTGAAGTGAAGGGGAAATAAGTGAACAAAGAAAACTCCTGACACTTCCTTAATTATATTAAAATGACCTGCAGTACGGTTTCTGCGCTAATGGCAGACACTGAGGAAACCTGCACACACTGTGCCACTTTGATTAATTTCCTCTCTTGAGGCTAATCCATTCTTATTTAAATCGATCAATTTCTGCGAACATCTCCTCGATGCAGAGCCAGGTGCCTCACATCTGTTTTAGAGATTGTCATTCTGTTCGATTAATAATAATAATGTCTGGCTAATGAGGGGTGTGTAAGCAGACACTTTAGGGAGTCCATCACTTTTTGTTTTTGTGGGTAATGGCGTTGATCAAATGAGGGGTGGTAGATACAGTTAAACGCTTTGAAAAGAAGTGCATATCTGCCCGCTGGCCTGTGAGTCTGTTTTAGAGAGACCATTAAGCCCGGAACAATCCATGTAAATGCCATGCACGTTCAAACACTTAAGATGGAAATGCGTTAAGGAAATACAAGTGGTTTGATTTAACCATTGGTTTCAAAACCAGAAGGTAAGATATGGCTTCAGACAACATTGTAGGGGTCACTGAAGTCAAGTTGGACCTTAAACCCATCACCGTAGAGTACTTACAAATTAAAAAAAGCTGCCTCAGAGCAGATATTCCGTTATCAATCAAAAAAGAATTGTATTCCCAATGCTAAAAATCCACTTACTTTTGAGCACCCTTGTAATATTTAGAGTATCCTTGAAGTAATGTCACCTTTCATTTTATGGTGATGACTTTTAATAATAAGTTCTGTAGATCATTGTCACGGCTGAGCTCCAACTTGTTAGGTGGTTTGATCCTTAGAGAGAGCGCTAGAGAGTGAAAGAGGTAACGTATCCCTTATGATCTAGTTCAGCATCACTTATCTCTTCTTTATGGCCTAATTAGTTGTCTAATCGCCTCCTAAGGACATCTTTTATTTTTCTCTGCAGAGCAGCGGAGACAGTAAGACTAGTGGAGTGTGTGTGTCTGTGTGTTGGGAGGGGTTTACACAGCGATTGTGTCTCAGTTAGTGAACTAGCTTCCGCCTCAGATTATGTTCTGCCAACTGTGGATGTTCTATTCTTTAGTTGACAAGTCAAGGTTTATATGAGGATTGGCTTTTTCATGACATGGCTTATCAATGACATAATGTACTCAACAGCTGCTTTAAGACATTTATGATACTGCACCTTTGGACGATTGATTTAATCTCTTCCATTATGTATTATTGTTTGCTCTTCATTAATGTTTCACAGGACTTTCTTGTTGGCAGTTCCAAACAGAAATACACAAGAACATCTCCAAGGCTTATAGTTGGAAAGATGATCACTGGTTTATACCAATATGCCTTGTTTGTGATGCTTAATTACATTCAAGGGAAAATGAAAAACAGATATCTAATAATGTGAAGTCCATTGTCCTCTGTAATTAGCTGTCACTCACAGTTTTTCATTTGTCAGAACACATTTCAAAAGTGTGAAATACACACCAGTTATCGTGGATGAGGCGTTGGTTAGGCATCTTAGATTTGATAGGGAAATAAAGTCACATTATTGAGCACATGTTTGCATACAAGATGTTTTGAATGAGGCCCCTTTGCATATTTTGGATTGTAGGCCATGTTTTTTTTTCTTTGTAGTTTTTTATCCCAGCATTTGAGAGCTTTGTGGACCAAGTTATGAAAACAGCTACAGTTTTAAATGAACAGTGGTTAAAAACCTTTTACACAACTTCAGGAGAAAGAGTGCCTGTACCAAGCCCCTTAACTGGATATACCATTAGAGGAACCAATGAAAGCATGCCGTTGCTGATCAGAGTTGCACTACATCACATGTGTCAAGAGGGTTGGCTGTTGCTGTTGTAGACAAACCCAAACAACATATACTGCAGGAAAATGTCTGTTCTTCTAAGAAGCCGTTCTCCAAGCCCCTTGATTGTTTCCTTGTAAGATTGAAAATATATGCTATACTATGCTTTTATTGGTGGTTTGCTCAATGTTTTGCTCAAATTACAAGTAGGGTAGATTGACATTGGAGCAACCAGTTTGACTTTCTCTTTTATTGTTTGAGCACACTGTGACAGACTAAGAACAAACCAAGCGTTATCACAGATGAGATAAAGAAAACTGAACTCCGGCCTGACAAAACTCGAGTTTCATTTATGACAGTGCATGTCGTTGCAAACTCAGACGGGTTTTAAAGCTGTTGCAAGACAGATACACCATATGTTCCCTCATGTGATTGACTGTGTTCATTGTCTGTGAAAATGCTGTCGAGATATTTTTCATGTAAATGCAGAAAGAAACACCATCCAGTTGATGAAACGTACTTTGGAACAATTGTTATTTAGTCATAATTAAGATTTTTGTGAACAGAAAATCTGTGGTAAAACGCACTTTTAAAGTTTTTCCAAAAACTCTCCTCACAGTTTCCTGTGGGATACACTTGACATTTACAATGGGACTTTGTTGTGAAAGGAGCATTTGGACACACGGATAATACAAAACTCAGGAGACTACATCATTGCTGGAAAAGATGAGAAGGAAACATGTTCTTAGGAGTGCACTGGTCAGGGTATTGCACTTGGTTACATCACGAGAAAACCTCTCGTGAGACGTGTCCTTTTTTGTTTTGATTTATGTTTTTTTGCCTAAACTTAAGAATTTCTTTGTTTTCTTTAACAGTGAACCTGCTGGATTCTCGCTCTGTGATGGGTGACCTAGGATGGGTGGCCTATCCTAAGAATGGGGTGAGTACAACCATTGTAAGATGGTTCAATTGTTGGCTGCATTTGACAAATACCACACATTTATCTTTTTCTTAGTTGATGTTGTCAGCGAACATAGTGTCATTATTTCTTGATTGGTTGTCTTTTTAGAAACACATAGTTAGTCTTGTTTAGACATGGTTGCTAGTACTAATACCATTGCTATTAAACCACAACAACGCTTTTCAAATATTGTTGTAGTCTTTCAATAGTTCCGTAAGACCCAGTAACCCATCATCAATGATCGAAATGAAGTGACCAAATCATTTTAAACTATACAATTATAAGCCCAGGGTTAGGGTTAGGGTTACAAAATCTGCTACTGCTGGTAAGCACAGTTGAGGTTGTAAACTCACTGTATGTGTATGACCAACGACACCTATGACTTTATTATTTCACACTTAAGCACATTTATTTTATCAAGGTTATAGTTCATTCAATCTCCAATCCCTCTCAGTTCATTATCGGGGTCAATTGAATTCATGAGTAAGATATTGAAACTCACGATGGAATATATTATTCTCAAACCAGGAGTTGAGTTTCCATTACCAAGTATTCCCAGGGCGAAGGCTAATAGGAGAATGACTTACTGGAGTTGGGAAATAGTTGGAATTATGGAGTGTATTTTAAAGAAAAAAAGAACTGGTGTTTAGTTTAGAAAATGTATTCATGTATTCTGGAGTTCCAACACCACCTCCACTCGTGAGACAGTAATCTACCACCTTTCCTGGGAACAATTTAATTCCCCAACCTCCGGGGGATTGATTGTGTTACGGTTGGTTTTGTGCATCTATTTTATCCACATGGAAAATCTCTCATATACTGTGGTCACAACTGTTGGCAAACATTCAGCTATACACGCCGGACCAATAGTGCTGACCGTGGCGTTTTTTCTCGGCTCTGAGTATTCAAATCACAGTCTGCTCTGTGGCTGTATGTAGATCTGAGAGATAGTGCTGACAAAAGCAGCTGTATGCGCAATCATATTAATGAAGATGTGATTATGGCCCGTGGTTTCCACAATGCAAGTGCATAAATAACTGCATTCAGGCTGGACGAATAGGAAAGAAAAGACGTGATAAGGATCTCATTATGACATCCTCTCTTATTAGCTGTTGTGTTTTTATTCAGCTACAGCTTAAGGTTATTAAAATGTGTTTTTTCTTCCTTCTATTAAACCTGTCTGACAATGAAATGACAAACATGTCCCATAAAATAAATAATTGAATCACTGTTTGTCATTTTAAATAACAGATGTTATCAATGAAGGCCATTATAATTCCTATCATATTCAGCATATATTGGACAGAACCCAATCTGCAGCAAGCTCTCGCACACACACACACACACACACACACACACACACACACACACACACACACACACACACACACACACACACACACACACACACACACACACACACACAGACATTCACACCCGGTGGCAGCAGTCTTCCGTGGCTAAATAAGATCTTGAAGAGGCACAGATTTTTTTTTTGTCTCATGTTCCAGATGGTTTTTCCCATCCCTCCTTTTCTCCTCCTCCAACCCCCCTTTGTCCCCATCATCATCTCTTCTGTCATCCTTCACTTTTTTCTGGCTCAGTTCCCATCCTTCCTTGTCATCGAACATTCATCTTACTCCTTATCCCCATTTTCTTCTCATTCTTGTAATCTCCTTGTCTTTTTATCTCACTATCTCCTTTCTGCTGCTTTTCCTCTTTTCCCAGAGCTTCAGTGTGCTTTTTAAGCAAATAGCAGATTGAGTAAAATAAGGGGTTTTAAAGAGTGTTTCAGATTTGATGGACGACCTTGAAATGTTATGACACATTTCAATGAGCAGCATGACACTGACATAGTAGCTGAACTTGAAGACTGTAGATTAGGTTGTCACTGAAAACACTTCTCTCCCCGTCTATGACAAGCTCCTTGGAACAATATAAACAAAATGAAAAAGGGTCCTTTTTTAAGTCTACTTCAGAAGTCTGTCTTGAAGTTATAGCAAGCAGGAGGCCAGGGTAAATGTGGCTATGAAGCCTAGCAGGTTAGTTTAACAATCTGGAGACAGGTGTGTCAGAGGTAGAGATTGGAAAAAGACAAAGGGCTGCAGGCAGTCAGACAGCAAAAGCTTAAGACGAACAAAGAGTGTCAGAGAGAACTTGGAGAAAATCAGACTCGCTGTAACCCCTCTAGAACAGAAGTACTCATGGGCAAGGAGCTTCTGATGAACTGGAGAAAGAGACAAGATTTTTTATTTTGTACCAAGTTAAAAGAAGAGGCAATTTGTTCTGTCTCATTGTTGGTAGCATTAGGGCTGATGAGGTCGGGCATAGTTGTGTACAGACCAGTGACGTGCGATGAGGTTCATGGCTGGTGAGGCACTAACTCACTGAGTCAGATTTACAAATATTATATTTTGACCTTAATCGAAATATTCGGTTATTTTCAAAAGTTTTTTTAGTCTGATGCTTCGATTCATTTTAAACAGACCGTTCAACAAAAGGATACCCAAAATCTAAATATTGGATTGTTCTTTCTTAGTAAGATCCCATTTTCATTACAAATGTGGTCTTACCTTGACTTGAAGATGAAGTCCATGCTATCCTTCTGGACAACAATCTCCATTACTTTTTTGTAAAAGTCCTCCTTATCTTCCTGTAGTTTCAAAAGTCTAGTTTGTTGTTTGCGTCTACCGTCTCTGCGTAGAATAACAGTAGCAACAAGAACCTGTGGGCTCACGTGCGCCCCCTTCAGTGCGGCAGAGGTTATGGCTGCCTCCCCTGGTGCTTTTTTCATTGCCGTTGTATGATGAGACCAGCGAGCCTAAATATCATATATACGTGAAATAAGTTATTTAGAGACTATGGATGGCGAGGATAAATGTAATAAAGGGATCTACAAACATTACATTTGTGGCCTACAGTGAGATGGGAACAGGCATGCGCTTAGGGCCCGCTTTCCAGCCAGTTTCTGTGGGGTGACGCATTCTGAGGTGAGGCAGAGCTCATCTGTGCCTCACCTTACCCCACAGTAACTGGCTTGAGCGCGCTCACAAAATAAGTGCCCGCGCTAAATTAGTGCCCGTGCTCCAGCAAGTTACTGTGGGCTTACGAGAGGCAGAGCTCGTCCCTGCCTCACTTCTCATCGCTCCCGTAGCGGAGCTCGGCAAATTTGCTGATTTTGACTATAAAAAGCGATTGGAATCATACATAAATCACACTTACAACATAAATCAGTGGAGACATTTTATTATTATTACTATTTAGTTTTTCTTTAGTTGTTTTTCCATTACATTGGAGTATGACAGGTGAGGCTCTGCCTCCCCTGACTGCACGTCGCTGGTACAGACTAGAGTTGAATGCAATAATTACAGCTTGAATATTTGCTGTAGATTATTCACCAGTTGTTTTGCTGAATGCTGATACAGAAATGTTAGGACGAAAACCACCAACAAAATTCATGAACGTAACACAAGTCTTTATTTGAGCTATAGTTGGAAGACTCATGAGTTGGTAATAATTTGAATGTATGTTAGTTAATGAAAGGCTTATCATTCATATTAATGTAGTGATGGAAAGGAAAGGGGACAAAGGGGATACAAATAAAGGTGAAAGAAAAAAACATAGCGAAATGTTGGTTCCTTGCCCATTTTGGACCATTTGGCTGTCAAGCCTTTGTCATCTAATAACTCCATTACTTCCTGTTCCAATTGCATTGGAAAGAGTGCTTGTTAATAGATTGTGTGAGCTGCCAATCACATGTAATTTGGTGGATGCTTTTATCTGCTGCCTCCTCAAGCATCTTCAAGGGACAAGAATACAGAAAGAAAAGTCAGCATGAAAAGATGCCATTAAAGAGATGGACCCCACAATATGGATCATTTTAGTGTCCATCTATCTCAATGACCCCCCATTTTGCTCGATCTTTATCCCTGCATTAGTAGGAAAAGTCCACTGGGCCTATAAGGACGCACACCAAGCCGAACTCAAAGAACCTCCCACTGATAAAGGATGGCTGTTAAAATGCTTTTAAATGTCTTGTTTTGTCCAACAACACTCGACCACACAAAGTTGTTGGTCAGTTTACAATCATACAAAACAGATAAAAGCAGCAACTTGGCACATGCTAAATAATACTTTATATTTTTGCTTTTAAAAAACGACTTAACTGAGGACTTTTCCTAATAGTTGACAGTTAATTATCTGACAACAAATGGACTAATTGTTGCAGCTGTAACTGCGACAAATATTGAGAATTTAATTGGGATTAGTTTAAAAAAATTTAAATAATTGAACCCCAGTCGTAGTTGTGGTTGACATATTTGTTAGTAAGGATAATGCTGCTGGGTTTGGCCTAGTGTGTCTTTGAATATGTTGTCTTATGACATAGTAAAACTAAGCTAAAACAAGAATGGTTGACGACAGCATTAAGATAACAAATTGGAGAGCCCTAGTGATACAGTGGACAGTGGCACTTCTGCACTTAAAGCTGCTCAGACTGAATGAGCTCAAAGAACAATATCAAGTACTATTAAATATTTTCTGCCAGCTGTCTGTCTCTCTCCATTAAATCAACACCGGCTGAAATCGGTCATCATTTGGCCCTACTTTCACAACAGGCTAATGTTTGTGCAATAGAACAAAAAAACTGAGAAACTTAAAATTGTGAAATTGGTGTAATTGGATAGTCTTAAGAGTCGATAAGAAAGCTGTCTTTCTTCGACTACCGTAGCTGAGTCAGCATGTTAAATAGAGCAAATAAGCATATACTCAACAATGGCCTAATGATGGCTTCTTTGGTTCAGGATCCTAAACTGTCTGCCCCTAATGATTAAGAGACTGTTTGTGTTAGAGATTTGTTGTTTTGCAGCTTATATGCTTTTTAGTTGACTTTTTCCCTCGTTACACTTTACAGTACCATGAAGGTAGGAGGACAGGTTAGGCTAAAAGAGACAGGAGAGGAGGATTATATGAGAACGTGGAACTTAGCTTTAGAAGTTCTGACAGGAAGGCGGGAAGAAGGAGAAATTGGGGACAAGGAAGAAGACAGGAGGAATTTAGGAGCTGCAATTGAACATGGTTAAAGGAAAAGGGGGACCAAAGGAAGATAGGCTAGACTTAAGATTAGATCATTAAGAAAAGAATAGAGGACACAAAAAAATGATGATAGACATGGATGATGTGAAAAGGCAAAGTCAGGAAGCATGAGAACTGGGATCTTGGTAGTTATTGTATAGAGGCAGGGATTGGGGGTAGAACATGGGGGAAGGGTTCTTCCGTGGATAACGAGTGAGAGGGACAGTTCTGTCACAGTGCCATGACGGTCAGCGGTAATGAGCGGTAATAATAAGTTGGAGACAGCGTTATAGACTTAGAGCCAGGAGGCCACTCAGCAAAGCCACATGGGGTCGGCTGAGTTGTGGGACATTGTAGTCAACAAAACAAACATGCACACTAATGAGTAGCTGGGAGGATGCCTGTAGGGACAGTTCAGTTTGGAGGTGAAGTGGAGAAAAAGGTGGTGCAGAGGGTAAATATACACTAGGGCTGTGGGATCAGGACTAAAAGGAATGATACTAAGAACTTCTAATTATTAAGACTATTCATTACCAGTGATTGAGACTGAAAACGTTCAATGTGTTGGCTTCTTGCTTTATCAGAGAAAAGCAGTAATTCACCCAAATCACAACAAAACATTTGTTCTACTTTTCTTTTCTATGCAGTTTTCGTTTGCCGTGTCAATGTGTGAGATATTTGCATCGTGTACAACGTGATGTGAGCGAATGACATCTTGATCAACCTTTGAAAAAAATATATCCGAAACATTCCTACTAGGAAACAATGTCCCAAACGTCACACTGTGTGATCCCAACCATTTCTATAGGAGCTGCCCTCAGCAAACTGGTCATTATCCTGAGAAACTGGGATATTGTTTTCTTGGAATTGGGTGAACTGACCCTTATGAAGAGGTTGTGAGAATTGCATGGTAATGAGTAGGGCACACTGAAGCTTTTGAAATCATTTTTCTTTTGAAACAAATGGATGGTGAATTAAGATAAAGAGGCTAAGCCTAACTTGTCGTACTGTAAAATTAACTCCAAAACATTTATTAGGGTTTAAAATGTTGACTATTAATGCATGCTTTTGCTTCTTCAGTGCCTCATGATAGCAAGGGTGGTCCTGACCCTACAGTGTTAGTATTTTACTCGCTTAACCGAGCCTTATGTTTGACCTCAGGAGGCCCCTTCCAATGGAGCAGCTCATGCCTGGAAAACCATGCTCAAAGTTATCTCAATCCCTTCTTTCTGCCTGTCTTCTGTACCAAATCCGACCATTTCTCCATAAATATTAACTTTTGGTTAATACATAAAACGGGAATGGAGGCAATGACGTGTTTGCTTTAACTTATCAACCTGGAGTGAATATTAATAGCAGAATGTAATGGCTATATAATAAAGACACCGCTGGGGTTTAGATTGGATCCCTCTAAGCATCTTTACTATCTGCTACTGGACACAATCTCCTGAGAAAATGGAGGCTCGATATACAGCACAAAGGAAGTGCATCAACCTTTGCACAACCGAAACAGGAAGGTTATGGTGGTTTTGTTTTCCCAAGTTGCTATCGCTAGTTAATGAGACGCGAACATGGCAAGTGGCAAACACAAATAACTGTGGGAAACTAAATGCAGCATGTCCAGTGTTGATACTGATAGTTGTTAAGTTCTGAAAAAAAAGGAACGGGATCCGGTTGTCTTTGCGAGCGTTGCGCCAACAATAATACAGCTTCGAAATGCTAAGGATGGGTGGGGGGAAAAGTTGTTTATTTGTGTCATTTTTTATCCTTACTTTAAAAAGAAATACAACGATCAAGTAGGAATGTCATTTTGTTTCATCTCTTCAAAGCTTTGAATGTGTGAAATCCGTGCTTAAACTAACATTAATAGTGTAGTTAAAAGTGTGTGTTTCAGTGCTCTTTTCCAAGGGTATTTATATATTCACAACCAGTTCCATCATAGTTTGATGACTCAGTTGAATGAGTTAGCTTAAGCAAGAGTGATGTCAATCAACATTAGCAATCAAACAGTGTTAATACAGTAAAGCTGCACAGTAGGGGACTTCCCAGTGCAGACAACGGAAACCACGCTTTCTACACATACTGAATATTTGCTCCCAGGCAAACTTGGAGAAGGTCGCCTCTTTAACTCCCTGCTGGGCTAGCAACAATGATTGGTGTGTGTATGTGTTGTGTGGTGTGTGTGTTAAGCTGTGTAAAGCTCAGAGCAGGCTGGTGGATCTGTGTGATCTAACCAGTAAGAGGCTTAATGTCTGCACTGGGACTGACTGGGCTGGAGTCTTGGAGAGATAGGAAAAAGTCACACACAGGTCTGTCTGTGCATCTACAGTATTCTTGTGAGGACTCTTATTAACAAACTGCATTTACTTTAACCCTAAGCTATGTCTAACCTCTACTCTCAAAACCAGGTGTCAACCCTGAAACAGCCTTTAAAAAGTATGAAGGTTTGTGGAAGTGGCTTCAAATTGGACTGCTAAAAGATTGAAGTATAAGAACACAGACAGAACAAACAAGAACTATGAGCCAGAAAAAGAAAAGTCAGACTGAAATAGGGAGGTACGAAAAAGACAGATGGAGAACAAGACCGAAGGTTTTACACAATGGCTACAGCATTGAGTAATATGGGCTATTAAGCTATAACACCAGATCATAGTCTGGTCCCTCTGGCCGTATTACAGTGACATGATGAAGCGCCTGTATTAGCCATGGGAGAGTGCTAGTGATGCAGATAATAGCCACGTCCCAGGAGACCTGCAGAGGGAATTAATGCTGCTGTCTGACACACACACACACACACACACACACGCACACGCACACGCACATTCACACGCACACACACAGGCAGGGTTGCAGACACACACACACACAAGCTTGAACACTGACGGAATCATTTGCATATATGCACACACAGGCAGGAATTGATAACACGCACACACACACACAGACATTATAAAGGTATGGCTACAGTACCCAGAGATGAACACGCCTTTAAGTTCCTGTTAATTATATTTTTTGCTGACAAGAACTCCTCCCCTTATTCATGATAAATGCATATAAATTCTATAACACTATCTCATTATATGCTGTCTGTTGCAATAGGATGAATCAAGGTGGAAAGGATGTGGATTATTCTGCCATCTATACTGTACCTAGCCACACACACACACACACACACACACACACACACACACACACACACACACACACACACACACACACACACACACACACACACACACACACACACGCTTTCTGATTTCCTTGCCACTGTTAAGTCTTTCAACAAGGTTACTGTTGCTCATTCTTAGTCATTTCCCATGGTTCTCAATTCTCTGTTCGTGAGGGTGTTTCGTAGTATTCCAATACTAGCACAGATTTGACAAATCTTCGCATTTATACCTTTCAGTATACATTTTTCTCTTTCTCACCTGCATTTAAAAATACTATAAACATGTTTTAGTAAACTAAATCCTTTTTTTGACAAAAACGGAGAGAACAATCTGAAATCTGCCAAATTATGATATAGTCTGAAATGATTTGATGAAAACATTTAAAGAAGATTTCACATCATAGCAAATGTTATGTTTTGGTCAGGGGTGGTGGAACGTAATCAAAAAAATGTGTTCAAGTACTATAGTACAATTTTGAGTACAACATTTCTCAAATATTTTAATTTAAATGAAGGTCCAAGGTACAAAGCGATCAATGTATCCTATATTTTACAATTGCCAAAAGGGAGTCCAAAATATGAATACAACTTTATTCATTGGAATTTCGTTTTTCTTCTTAGTAACCCCATGTATTAATATAAAAATGTTAAGATCCCTAGTTTAGGAAGCATGGTACTAAACTACTTAGGTGTATATGAAGTAGCTAACTCCACCTTGTTGCTTACATATTTATCAGAGCCCAGCTCTTCTTTATGTTACCTAAGGGAAGGCATCCAGATTTGTTTCACCATTACCTATTTTGCCACTCTCTTAATAATCTCCCTCTGTTCTTTGCCTCAGTGGGAGGAGATCGGGGAAGTAGACGAAGACTACGCTCCCATCCACACCTACCAAGTGTGCCGGGTGATGGAGCAGAACCAGAACAACTGGCTCCACACCAACTGGATCCTGACGGAGGGCGCCCAGCGGGTCTTCATCGAGCTCAAGTTCACCCTGAGAGACTGCAACAGCCTGCCCGGGGGGGTCGGGACCTGCAAGGAGACGTTTAACATGTACTACTACGAAACGGACGAGGGCGACGAGGAAATTGACGGAGAGATGAACGATGGGACGGGAATGACGGAGGAGGTGGACAGGGCGATGAAGGAGAGCAGATACTTCAAAGTGGACACCATAGCAGCTGATGAGAGCTTCACAGAGCTGGACCTCGGGGACCGCGTGATGAAGCTCAACACCGAAGTCCGCGATTTAGGCCCCCTGACCCAGAAAGGCTTCTACCTGGCGTTTCAGGATCTGGGGGCCTGCATCGCTTTGGTCTCGGTGCGTGTTTTCTACAAACGCTGCCCGTTTTTGGTGAAGAGTTTGGCCGAGTTCCCCGACACCATCCCGGGCTCAGAAGCCTCGCAGCTGGTGGAGGTAGTGGGCCGCTGCGTCAATAACTCTCTGCCTTTATATGAGCCTCCCAGGATGCACTGCAGCACGGAGGGCGAATGGCTGGTGCCGATCGGGAAGTGTGTGTGCCAGCCGGGATTTGAGGAAATCAACGGATCCTGTCAAGGTAAGAGGGAAAAACTTGAGCGTGGAGTACTGCTTAATAAGTCACAGTCAGTTAATGATTGATACAAAAATGGTAATTTTCATAATCAGTTATTCATTTATCCAACAAAAAAGCCAAATTCATAATTTGACGTGAGAATTGCTTCGTTTTGACCCCCTTAAATCATTACCCAGTGTTAGCATTTTGGTCTTTCTTTAGGTTTGAGGGCGCACAGGCCTGTGTGTTTGCTTGTGGGTTGCCATCTTCCTCCAGTTGTTTATTTTTATACCCATGAACATGTTTGTTTTTAGTATTGTGTGTTTTGAGTGTACGCACAGATCTGTTTTATTCTTTTACTTAGAGTGTTTCTCGCTGTGTGTGTGTGTTTGCCTGTGTGTGTGTGTTTCTCCCTAGCTTAGTGGAGGGTATTCCCTCGAGCCCTGCAGCACTTTGCTGCTCTCACACAGCCGTTGTTCTGCTCCGACTCGAGCCCAAACATCCACACTGCCGACCTTAACTGCCATTTCCACGGGCACCCAGATCCTCTCTGTTTTTCCTCTCCTTCACTCCTCTCCAATCTTCCTCTGCGCCATCTGTAAATTACTCAATTTTCAGACTCTACTACTCACTAGACGCTAGAGAAGCTCTGAGTGGCGCGGCGAAATTTCAGAAAAATACCAGAGACTTTCAAATGTGTGATTATTTGCTAGCACTCCAGTGTTTCATCTGGTCACACAGTGCCTTACCAATCGAGCGTCAGGCAATGAACTAAAAGATTGATGCTCAACCACAAATAGCAAACTGTTGAAGAGTACATGAAGAGAGATTATCTTTTGCTTTTCAATTTTGCACGTCTATGAGTATGTGCACTATTGTTCTGAATTCTATAAATATACTCCATTATAAAAAAACATTATGTTTCGGCTTCTCTACTCAAAGCCCAAATGTTAGTTTTAGCTCAAAACTGTGCCTCAAGTATTAAAGGGGCCCTATCATGCTCATTTTCAGGTTCATATTTGTATTTTGTGCCTCTACTGTCACATGTTTCCATGCTTTAATGTTCAAAAAGTGCAGCACCTCTTTTCCCCCTCAGTCTGAAACCAGAGCCCAGTCTACTCTGATTGGTTAGCTGGCCGGCTCTGTTACGATTGGTCAACCGCTTAGAGATGTCCCGCCCCTTACCCTATCATATACAATGTGTTGGCCCGCTAGAACATAGCAGCGGTGTCACCATGTTGCAGAAGTAAACCAAGGTGTCCAGTCAAGGCATTTCAGGCAGGGGGTAGTATTAGCCTTTGCAGACCATTTTCTGTAAACGCACAAGAAAAGGGAAAACCCCAAAAATCATAATTGGGCCTCTTTAATACAGTACATATTGCCATGTCATTCCTGTGCCACAAAGCCTGTATGATTGCATGCATTGGATACTTGACTGTGAGAGGAGGCTGGTTGGTGACGTGCATGGCAGAAGTGGTTTTCCATAGAATTTGTCACACAATGCCTGCAGAATGAAATCATTGCCTTTTTAAAACAGCACCTCTCTTATTAGCTCAGTAACTTGTAATCACATGGTAAAACATAGAAGCTGTGTAACAAAGTGTGCACTATATCTAGCTTAACTTAGTCAGACATGGAGTCTCTGTGGGGAGATCATTAGGCAGTAGCTGCCAGTGTGCCAGTGGCCTGCCCGGAGTCATGCTGCCACCGACAGTACAGTCACATGGACGGTCACATATCTGACGCTGACAGGGCTAAAATATAACTCTGGTGTTCAGCAGTAATACACAAGAGCTCATTCTGTACTGGGTATATCAGCGCTGCATGGCAACAGGTTTTGGTCTTAAGTATTTAAAAATGATGACTATATTTGTGCAGTTTAGGAAAGGGACCTGTGTTGTGTATTGCACATACAGTAGACTGCATGGTATTGCACCACTGGATGAATAATATACTTATTATGTAAATACCCAAGAATAAAAAAGCGTAAACTTCAGAATTACTTATAACACAACAGGTACTGTGGATTGATTAAAAAATAATGCAATCTTGGGACTTTTTGCTGTATTGGACTTGTCTTACTACATTATTGGACATTCTTCCACAATAATATGATTTGGTTTTAAAATGGGAACTTTTCCTACATTTATGCCGAGAAGCCACATTATTTTTGGTGTTTCCTTACTTAGACAGAAACATTCAAAAACACTATTGTTGCTATTTTAGTTTGAAAGCTCCAGGTTCGCTTTTTAGTCTGGACGGACAGAACCTGACCCCTTTAAAAAAAAAAAAAAGGATCACCCCTTGTTTTCGATTCTTCACAACGTGTCTTCCCTTCGTCATCACATTAAACTTCTCCATAATAATTTAAACAACATCATGACTGCTCATGGTTAACATAGATACCAATCTACAGATGTCGCTGACTTTGTTGCCAGTAATTCTCCAATAACAGGTTAGCTATTAGCATAATCTCAATAAGGTTAATGCTAATGCTAAAATAAAAAATGTGGACTGCAGTTTCTCTTTCTCTTAGAGGATGAATCACAATGGCCGTGTTTAACATTATGCCTTTCATACTTTGGCATGGTAATATTGTCAAGTTGACATTAGCTTTATCTAATATCTATAAGTACAGCATCCCAGAGCTGCTAGCATGGCTGTAGACTTTTAGTCTCGGTTGTTCTTAAGAGTATGATTCTTTGAAGTAAAGGGAACATACTTTGATGGTGCCAACATTCATACATTATTTACCGTACATCAGCTGCATTGCATCAGCAGCATGTCAGCAGCGTGTGCACTTTAAGCAGTTTAAGAAATATGTGTTTTAAGAAACTCTACAAACTATGAAATCAAGCAATTAAATTAAGATGAATTTATTTTAACAAGGATATTGACAGTATTTTGAGTAAGTGTATATTTTTTGGGGGAAAATGTGATGTATTATCAACATTATCATCTGCAAACTGCAAATATGTGTCAAAGATCATGGAAGAAACCATGTTTCCCTTGTTTTTAAGTGGGAAGACGCTTAATAATTGGAATTCACAAGGTTTTATAGTTTGTGTGAAATCTGTTTCCACTTATCTATGGACAACAAAAGAGAGAAGGGCTTCTTGTATAGACGGCAGCGAAGATTAAAACTGTTTTTTTGTTTGAAGAGACATGAAAAAAAGGCAGCAAAGTATTTTCTGGTGTAGACCAACCAAGCATAAAAGAGAGGGACAAAAGTGGCATTCCCTTTGTACTCCTGTTCACGGGCTGTGAGACCGCTATTTTGTTGACACTGATCAAATCTGCCAGCATGTATTTCAAGAAGGTAACAGCACTGTTTTCCCCGTCCGGTAGCAACAGAACAAAGTTAGAGGTTAACTGATTTCCATTTAAATAATTTCAGACTGTTGTGCATACGGTGAAGATGAAGTTGTGTGATATGCTAATTTCCCATCCAATGGTTAAACGTTTTAGAATAAAAAAACATCTCCAGTGCTCACAGATTGATTGAGTTTTTTGTATAATGGTCCTCTAAAAGGAAGTCAACAAGCTCAGTAGAACACACTCCCAGCAATTAATGAAGATTTTTCTTTTTTTCCAATTTTGCATGCAGATGAAACCGATCTTTGAAGTGTCTACAGAGAGAAACATGGCAGGACTTCCTCTCTTTCTTCAGCTTTGTAACCAAACGTGCTCGCTGCTTTGGAAAACACTTTTTCATGTTCATTTCAATCAGTAACGGCGGAATTAAGTGTTGAATTCTGTTTGTGAGACGTTTTAAAACGTGCCTGGAATACATACCCAAGCAGTTCTAGTATTGGGGCTTTTGATATTTGTTTGGCTGTCAGATGTTCTGCTACTAAATATCCAGCAATATGGATGTGAGAACATGTACCAGGTTTTTAATTTCCACTCTATTATGTCAACTTTACCCTCTCTGTGAATGTCAGTGGGATTTTCTAAAGGGTAGAGCTCTTTTTAAAAAGACTCCATTGTTAATAGCCACATTTTATTTGATGGCCTGTTTTGTTGTGGGGTTTTAAGCATGTAGATTTTGTAACAGTGAGTTGCAGGTCATACTACATTACAATGTGAGAGAAAACGTCTATATCAGTGGATCCTGGCTGCTTGTGCTGCCTAGTAGAGCATGATTTAACGCAGCCATTGTGAATGTAGGACAAAACTCGTTACGGACAGCTATTTCTCCCCCTCTTTGTCTTTTTTCTTCCCGTCATTTGTACATCTCCTGTTCTTTGTCTGATTTGCTTTCTCTTTTTTTCACTCTTTCCCCTCCTTTTCCTTTGCTCATTTAAGTGACTGCCTATCATTCATTGCCTCTCCCTCCTTCTTTCTTTCTATTCCTCTTTATTACTGCCACCTACATCAGCACTCTCCTGTCTTTTATACACTTCTGGCCTCATTCTTCTCCTCTTTAAGTCTCTGAAAGATCCCTCAATCTTTCTCCGTCAACAATACAATTCTGTCTTATTAGCCCCCTTCCCTTCTCCCATAAACACACTATGTTGTCACATTGGGGAAATATTGGAAAAAGGCTAAACAATACATTTTCCAACAACTGTACAGAAATGCATTGTTGGATTTGTGTTGTTATTCATTGCTTTGTTCTGCTAGGTATTTTGTCTTAACTTGAGTTTTTTGTTTATTTATATGACATTATAGGAAATAAATGATCTGTTTCCATATCATTTGTTCACGGTTAAGAGTCACGTCGACGGAAAGTGAATATATTAAGCACGTGGTTGTCCTGTCTCGTTACACCGGAGATTTATGATTTTGTGTCGGGTGACATCTAAAGATATTGTATGTGCTTGTGTGAGATGTATAGACGCAGGCACAACTTTAGCTGGGATAATTGGTGGTAGCCTGCAGCACTGTCAGCACAGAGAGAGTGAAGAGAGAGGCATGGGGGAGGAGGGGAGTGCCTCCGTGGGTACATAGATGGATGGAGAGAAGGAAAGATTGGAGGATTACGGAGAGCAGAAGTGATGGCAAAACAAGGGGACACGAGA